ATTAAATGCTAATAATTAGCGTAAAAACGACTGCAATCTCGTAAAACATCAATACATTTGAGTTCACAGGACATGTGAATGGGACTCGTGTTTGCCATTCATGTGATGGTCTCTCAAAGATAATCGATAGAAGCGGAGGAATGCTTACAATTGGCGGCGCACTCGTGGAAGACATCGCGTATGATATCGGGATCCAATCGGTTGGTGAACATGTCCTCCAACTGCGACAAGCGATCCATTTGTGTGGTACTGTTGTTGTCCTCATTGGCGGCCAAATTGGAGATCACTGTGTCTTCGGCAGCGGCGGCCGTCTTGTCGGCCAACTCCAGAGGCCTTTGTTTGCATTTCTTGTTATTTCTGGGCATCGCTTCCCCTCACGTCTCATATGACATCCAAACACAGATCGATACCACGGATGAGACGATAAGCATGTGTTTCATGCGAGAGACGATTCATAGGAGTGTTTGTAAAGACAGACAATGTGTCCATAAATGCACTTTCGGTCGACACTAACAGTAACTGTAAACACATTTNGCACTTTCGGTCGACACTAACAGTAACTGTAAACACATTTGTGGTGACTCTGGGCTCGAGTCTCACGTTTGCCACCAAAAGATTGCCAAAGATTTTGATTGTTTTCAAAACAAAAATCTCTTTTTTCGTAAACAAATCGCTGACTCAACAGACAAACACTGATTTGACGCACAATTAGTGAATGAATGGCTAAATGTATGACTGATATAATGAGACCCTTTTTTCGGTGGCAATACTACACACGAGTTATTATCACTGCGATCGCGATCTCAATGTCAATACGAATGGCATTTAGTATTGGATTTCAATTCAGCACTTGTGGAGAGACATTCACTGAATGCTTGAGTCAAAGCTTACGAGACTTTTGATTGAAATTGTTTTTTACATTCACTTTAGTCGCGCAGCACGTGATCTCTTATCTCACAATCTCTGAGCGCATACCACGTGACATGTCGTACGACACGCTATTTGTCGCCCACTTTGAGTCACCTTTTCATTGCATACAATAATATCCGGATGAGTTTATTTGGACCCCTATTGTACATAATTAATGGGTTAACCATCAGCTGAAATGTTTTTGGCTGTCCATAGATAAAGTGCACTAAAACCATATTTTACTGAACTATTAACTCAATTATGTCCACATTTACAATCATTTCCACTAATTATGTTTATATTGATCTTATAAATACTGATCAAAATGCATGCAAACCTAATAAAATGTAAATTACAACATATATTGTGATAAGTATTAAGCATTTCACACAATTGTTATTCAATTCATCATTTATGGCATATAATAAATCAGTTGTCAATAGCCTTTGACTGAGCCATACGTCAAATCTGACACGAAAGGCATATGCCTGGAGTTGGTTAACCACTACTAATCTTACCCACAATTGCATAAAAATTAAACCTAAACTTCACGGCACAGACACCATAACTAAATTATAATCTATGATATACTCAACACGTAAGCACCACCTACTTTACTTAACAAACTAGACCTATAGGGCGCGGGTCGGCACTGAACTGATCGGACTGTCATCCGTCTCACTGCCGCATAACTTATGGACCACGGGTTGGGCTAAAGGCATAGCAAACGACGTACTAATGCATACATAGAGAGCACTGGTCGGGGGTCGGGGGGAGCGAAGGGCACCCAATAAGCCAATGGCCGGGCGATTGAGTGGTGTTTGGGTTTCATGTGTACAGCGATGAGTGAAATATATCTATTTATTTACACCTAAATTAACGCAACAATAATGTAGTGCTTGTGTCCGACCTATAGTTTAGTGCTTTACCTCTAGTAATGAAATCCAAAATAAAAAGTTTATTTCACTTTTAAATGAGATTTAGTTTTCGTTACACAACACTACAGTCAACATAACGGTATGTATTCACACAATAAGCAGTCATTCATTTTCATGCCATTAGCCCCACGAGGGGGTCCAAACAGTGTGACCCCTGACCCCCGTGTATGGGAGGTGTGTGGGTGTATGTGTGGTGGGGGTGTGAGTGGGCCTACGGGCCAGTCGTCGGTCTAATTGTGTGAATGAATGGGCGAATGAGTGGCCAATTGAGCGACTGGTGTGTCGTATGCCGTCAATGACGTGCCCACACGTGTCGACCCCCGCAATGCTAAGTGAATGGCTGTGCGATGGCTGTGAGCGACGTATAGAGTGTCGGACCCCTCGCTATGGCCTTCACTAATATCGTGCAGTAATTCAGTGATTGTGTGATTGACTCCCGATTTAACCCATTTTGGGCTCATTTTTGCATTCATTTCGCTGTTCAGACAAACCGTCGAAGGCTTTCATTGGCTCTAAATTATGCTCTTTTAGTGTTAAGACAACACATTTGGACACCAATTGTGAGGACATTAGCGCCGATAACAGGACAGACATATCGCGCAACCATTTCTCGTGTTTGACAACTACTGCATCAAAAGTGGATCACTTGGGGACTCATTCACTACAACGCGATCTTGAAAATCTGGTGACTATTTTGATTGATTCTTG